GGCCTATGGAACACAGGGAAGCGGAAAAGAGCGCGCCCTCTCGGGGTGCGGGCAGTACTAACTACACCGAGTTCTACTCAACGAACTAAATGACCTTCCCATTCCTGACCTTAGTTAGTGGTAGTTATGCTGACATCTTGATTTGTCAAGATTGCACTTTAGAAGTTCCATAACTTCCATGAGGGCTTCCACCTCCACCAGGAGGCAACCCCGACTAGAGACAGAGATGACTTACTACTCCGTAAGTAAGGCTGGACTCAAGATGGAGTGCACTCCAATTAAGAGCCAGACGGAGCAGACCCGATGAGGCAGGAAGGGAGGAATGGAGGTTGAGGGCTGTGGATTTCGATGGATTTCTGCCTCAGGGCTCCAGAAGAGGAACCGCCAATAGGAAAAGGCCTCAGGCAGGCGTCGGGGCCGACAGCATTATCACTCGATGTGGAAAGGGGGGAAGCGCAACGGTGGAGCCCCTCAGCGCCGGTGGACTAATAATATCCCCCTATTCCGACGATTAGGGCATCTTGCCAGACCCCTTTAGTGTACCTTAGCTACTCTCACTACGGTGTACACACGGAGTCAGAGCGGTGTCGTCGTTGAGAGACTGAGAGTGAGTGCTGTTGCGGTTTGGCCCTAGCAGACATCCCGGGTATCTATTCTACGGGATCCCTACACTAGTTGCTTAGTCCGGAGGGGAGTGGCATCTATTTGACTGCCTAGGATGGCTCGTTCAATATTGATCATGTGATTGATTGGAAGGACAGACTGTGGGTCACGTCGTACAATGTAGGTACGACGGAGCAACTCAGCAAGTACGGAGTACTTCCTCTCTGCACCCTGGAATTGTATGTATCAAGAAGATGGGATCGAGTGACCAGGAATCGTACGGAGTTCGGGGGAATGGGCAACAGAATTAAAAAAAAAACGAGGGAAACAAAAAGGGCCGGGACAAGAAGCGGAAAGAGGCTGTGCAGATGAATCCTGTTACTGCAAGTGTCCAGGGCCTTAGCTTAAACTTACTACATACAGTACAGACCGAGGGACCAGTGAAGTCATCCGGTTCTTTAGTATTTTCTACGGAGTAGATTGGATTCGGCTGCTAGAAAAAGAACTGAAGGAACAACAGAGGGCGATGGGGTACTCAGGTACCACTGCTATTATCGGGGCTTTCGTCTCTTTCTTTTCCTTTTCTTTTCTGTCTATTTTTTATTTATGTTATTTTTTATTTTGGAGACTCTGTTCCGCACATAAGGCTACCAACGAAAACTAGTCAAGAAGCAGATGTCTAATCAAAGGTACCACCTACCTAGGAGACCCGACTTAATTATTCTGAAGCTCCCCCTCCAATGACAGGTAATAATAAGAAGTGTTATTATTATCATTGCAATTCCGATCATGCAGTTATCCAGTATCATGACCGATTCCTGATTCCTGATTATACTCTATCCATAATCCATATTGAATATTCACCCTCCTTCTGCAGCCCTGACTGATCCCATGCTTTTGGTGGATCCACTCCGTCACGACCGAACGGTGTCTGCTGCTCTGCTAATAATATTGCTAGTCAACTGCTGGTTTGGGTATTTGGGAGGGGAAATCTGTTCAAATAGAATCAAATAGAATCAATTAAATAAATAAATAAATAAATACATAATATTGCACACTCTTTTACTCCGGACAGAGTAATCTGTAATGCTCTATTTTATTTTAATAAATTTATTTTTCTCTTAGCCCCTATGCTAACCTGCCTCCAGCAAGAACACCCTCCACTTTGCTTTCTCCCTCTTCGGCTTCTTCCCCCCTTCTCCAGTAGTCTCCTTCGTCTCTTCCTCTGTACGTTTTAGTCGGGTCCGAATAAGTTATGACTAAGGTCAGGGTCAAACCCAGAAAGACTGAAAAATAAATCCGCATTATTTTTAACCGCACCAAACCCAAAGGGGCAAGCCTGGTTCCCGGAGGACTGCCTCTTGGTGGTTCTCTTCCGAGAAAGCGGGCACTTCGGAAAGTTCGCAGAAGAAGATGGGTACCGGTCATTCTCTCCATGGATAGGCTGGCAACGGTTGAGATGTGGAGGATGACCAGCAGGGACCTCTCAACTTCCACACCTCACGCTCTCATCCACAATGCTAACCAGCCCTCGGTCGTCCCTATCTAGCGTGAGTTGTGTGCTCCATACTCCAGTCCTTCGTAACGTAATGGTTTATTTTTATTTCTGGTGATTTTTTCCAGATTTTATTTTTACTCCCCTCCCCTTCTCCGTCTCTTTCCCATTTGATTTATTCTGGGTGGGCAAATATCACTAGTGAGTTAGTTTCTACTGAGCCAAAGACGTCGTGATGTATTTCCACCACCCAAGAATGATAATACCACCGATTTATTTATATATCATTAATGGCATTAACCATCAGATAATAACCTAAAATAATAATAGCCATGATATAATGTCCGCACCCCGTTGACGGACTAGTATCACCGTAATAACGGCATTAATAAATCCTATCTGGGCGCACCTGATCCCTGGTCATTATTCTTATTATTATTATTCCTCAACCTTGTGGCTCCAGTTTCCACGCCCCAGTCTTCTTATTTCCTGCTGCCACTTCCACTTCCAATTACCCTGCGGCGTTCCCAACCTCTGACTACCTGATCCTCGAACCTAACAGTCCTAACCCGACTTTTCTTACACTTTTGCCTGCACCCCCGCCACGCTAAGCCGGCATCCTGTTGCTCTTACCACCATATCCGCTGTCTTAGTGCTCAGGGAAAAGTAATATATCTCTCGTCATATCAGACTCTTCACTGTCGCCCTTTTTTTTATTTTTATTTTTATTCCTCTTTTTTTTTTCCTATTTTTGATTATTATCCATCCATCTTATTTCTTTTTTATCACTCCTCCCACCCCCATAACTATTACCTTCTCCCCCCCTCCTCCCCTCCCCTCCCCTCTTCTTCCGAAACCCATTTCCTGTTATGGCATCTTAGAAGTATCGAAAGTCGTTTTCTTTTTTTTCTTCTTTTTATTCACACTCGCTCACACACCGTTCGCTTATACACTCGCTTTGCTTTGACATCCAAGTCATATCACATTCGCTACGTTGGTTGACCGCGGAAGGAAAAAAAAAGAAGAACAGAACGGGATATTTAATTGCAACAGAAGTTGAAGGAAGTGAACGGATCGCCGACTTTTTTTTGAATTGAACATCCTAATATTTAATTCTCACGCACTGGACGCACTCGTTGATCATTCCAACGACCTTCGTTTTATTGGTTTCTGCCTGAGTGCCTGCGTGCCAATCCGACAACAGAAACGGGATCCATTCCGGCGCATCCTATCGACAGACGGACGAAGAAGATCACACTGATCGGGACCGAATCGACCTGACGGCCATCTGGACCTAATTTCGACTTCCGTGCGGACTATTCAGTTGGCGTTTGCCTTGTTTCGACCTACACGAGCCGTACTGAAACCCCCGCAGAGCCGTTTGCTACTCGCCAACTTTCGGGATCTCTCAATTTCTCTTGCGATTTCGCCTGGTCTCGATTCATCTGAAAAGTGGACCTCATCTTGACATCAACAGCCAACACTGTATTGACGGCAACCCCTCAAAAGGAACTCGTTGACGGTGGGAAGTTAAATCATCGTGAATCATTGTCTCGGTTGAATACACCAAGCCATCGCGTACTAGCAAGAATCATCTTAAACCTGAGCCATCGGAAGACTGGGTAGCAGAAAAACCTATCGCACTCAGCTGTTAATTTGTTAAGGTTAGTGTAATTTCCCTTCGCCACTGATCCCGGTGGTGCCTTGCATAAATCGGTCCCTTTTTTCCCTTGCTTCTCCAAGGTCGTGCCTCTGGTGCACAAGGGCCCGAGGAAAATTAGGACCCATGACGGGATCCAGACACTGTGATTTTCGCTAGCGAGCCCCCTGGGTGTGTTTGTTGTTGACATTTTGCATATTAGCCTTCCAAAAGTCTCTCGGTACGAACTTTTTTGTTCTCTCGTTTCTCCTTGGTAAGTCTCTGCTAGTCCATGCAGGAAGCCGGTCTTTTTGACCTCTTGAAGGCTTCTCACTCATTAGCTGGGTAGCTCATTGCCTAACTTGTGCCCAGTTTTCCGGGGTCTAGTCATTCGGAACCTCCTGAGACTCATTCTGCTTGGTTGAAAGGAAAGAGAGAAAAGGCAATTTCCCTCTTGTTTCTGCCCGGTTGACTTATCACTGGCTTGCTATTTGAGACCGGAACCACGGCTTTTGAGCAGCATCCCGTCGGGCTTAACCACGTCTGGAGCATCATCGATCATTCACAGATGCCAATCGGCTCATCATAGGTGCTTTCTCTGGAACAGTATTCCGCATCGTGGCTCATATTCGCCCAACACTCTGCAGCCAGCCTCACGCAGTTTCAGCCTTCGTTTTGAGCTTCTGACCGTTGATTCGAGGCCCTCCATCGTATCTTGCTAGTTGAGACTTCCTGTCGCTTCTTGTCGTCACTCGTTTTGTCTCGGAGAGCTCCCCGGTGACTTTCCGTCGTCCCATCGTTTTTGCTACGATAAATTCGCTGTCATTCGCTTCTTTTAAGCTGTTGTGTTTCGTTGCAGTTTCTGCAACACCTTCAAACTGGCTTATTCGAAGACTCACGGTGTTTTGGTAGGTCCCAAAGAAATCCCACACCTATTTCTCCTTCTGCGGCCCAATGGTTATTTCTTGTTGCTTTTTACCACTCTTTCGATTTTGTTTCTCTTCATTAGTCGGGTTTGGAATCTTGGTCCAAATTGGTGCTCCCTGGCTGCAGCTCCCTCCCTCAATTTTCTTCTGTTTTTCTGTTTTTTGACTCCTATCTGTGTGAGCACATGTTGACGGCAGTTTCGCCATCTAGTTCGATCCAGATTTTCAAACGCCCTTGATTGTAGACGAGTCGTTGGATTTCTCAGACGCTGAAGATTCGCGGTTTATCAGCACGTTTTCAGACGGCCTTCTGGCCAAGTCTGAACCTATTCTGTCTATGTCTACTTTCCAAAAGCCCCCTCAAGCGGCCTTGCTCGGTGAGTCGTTCCCCTGTTTCCGGTTTCAAATCATGCCGTTTGCTAAACCGTCTTAAAGATTATGAATCCGCTCGGTCTATGCATGATGGTGCCTCCTACTCCAGCTATGGACAAACGCCTTATGTAACAAATGCCTCTATGGTCCCTTCACCCATGACCGATCACACAAGCCAGATTTCCGATTGCGTTCCCTACATGAGCAACCAGAGCTATGCTAGCTCCTATGAGGAGGGCCGGTCTCCGATGCTGGGTGGAGAGTCTCGCCAAGTACCAGAAATCCTCTCCTACTCTCCTCAGCGGGGATCTGAAGGTACAAGAGTGTTTTTGGAAATTCAGTCGCCCTACGATCTTCACACCTCGTCATATGTCACGGTGTATCTAGTCTTCGGTTCGAAGAAGACCGAGTGTGTTCCCCATTTCGTTGGATTTCAAGGAACCGCGTTCCAGTATGCCCTTTCCGTGGACACTCCCCCTTTCATGTCGACGGGGTCCCCATCATTCGCTGTGCCGCTCCAAGTAGTAGTGGATGGACAAGGAGAGTGTCCTACGACCGCTCTGCAGGTTGGTGTCTATACATATGAGCAAGCCTCCCACCATTCGCCTTCCGATGAATCCCGCAAGAGAAGAGTCTCGTCCTTTTCCGAGGACACCTCCAGGCCCACCAAGAGAAGCGGCGTCCAGATCATGCACACAAGAGATCACTCCGCCAGCTATTCGACAACCTATTCGCCCTACTTGCAACCTCTCCCGGCCATGAATGGCTTTGCGACCCCGTATCATGCAGCTCCCTCGCCTCGAGTTGGCCCTGCGCAATACTCAACTGTCTCGGCATCTTCGCAACCATCCATCAGGGCGCCTTCTCCCTTGACTCCATCGTGGAGTCCTTCCTACATGTCTGTCAGTAGTGATCCTCGGACGCCGGGTTTCGGCGTCTCCCACGGTCTTCCCCAAAAGGCATCGTCCCCCGGTCGGTTTTCGAACCCAACGCTTATTCGAACGTCGACGCTACAGCACTCTGCATCCATTCCTCAAACGCAATCCTTCAACCCTTACGCCATGTACCCGTCGAAGGCCATTCTGAAACTAAATGGAGACTTGGACACCATGACCGAACATTGGACGAAGGAAGAGCGCGACATGAAACGACGTTTGGTGCAGTTCACTCGGGTCCAGAACGGCAGCACGATCCACGCCGATTTCAAGCCCGTTGCCCCAGAGGACCGAGCCCCCAACAGCATTTGTATCAGCTGTATCAACTGGGATGGGAAGGATGAGTGTTTTGTGACCAGCGTTGACACCATTTATCTCTTGGAATCGCTCGTCGGTGTCCGCTTTACTGTGGAGGAGAAGAACCGCATTCGAAGGAACTTGGAGGGTTTCCGTCCTCTCACCGTGTCGAAAGCCAAGGCCGATAGCGAAGAATTCTTCAAAGTCATCATGGGATTCCCAGCGCCCAAGCCCCGAAACATCGAGAAGGATGTCAAGGTCTTCCCCTGGAAGATCCTGAGCCATGCTCTGAAGAAGATCATTGGAAAATACGTGGGTGATTCCATTTCCTGCCTCGATACTCCTGCTTTCACAAATGCCTTACTAACGCCAAAGCCAATCCAGTCCGCGAGCTACTCTTCCACCGCCGGCGCACTTCCTACTCCAATCGCATCCAACTACACGAGCAATGGCGCTGCGTCCGATTCAGGGACCGAGCCCTTGAACGCAGGATCGCCCCAGTCTGTTTCAGATACCGCTCCCTCGACAACGTATAGTTCTGCCATTGGAATACCGGCTTATTCACCCCCAACGGGTCATTCCGGCGCGCCAATGACGAATCCAGCTGAAATGCGTGCCGTGCTACCGGCCATCAGCCAGTCTTACCATAGCATGGCCGCCCCTTATCAATGCGCACCAGTCTGCCAGCAACCTAGCCAGATTGGCCTCACTGCTCCAGTGAGTCGGGCCTGGGAGTTGAACCATCTCGTCAACGCCCCTCCAGCCAGCGGACCTCCTAGCAGCACTTCCTGCTACACCTATATGGCTCCGATGTCATACTCGCTCCCAGATCAAGGTCCTTAAATTGAGGCCTTTGATCATTAATTTTGCTTTTTTTCCCTGCTTTTTTCAATACGTTCCTAGCATCATTAGGCGTTGTTCTTTGGTTTTTGTTATGGGTTTACCTTTATCCCGATTTTCACGTCACTCCTTTATAAGCCATGGCGCTGGGTCATTGATGGCTCCTTATATATTTGGACCTCTTGGTGTTTTTATTTTTCGGTTAATGGTTACTGACCATGATCTGATGTCTCTCCTTTGGAATACCTTATGTCTAGATGCCCCACTTGTTCTGTTTGATTTTTGATTTTTCGTTGACACGACGCATTATAGATGATCTGTTATCCGTTCCTTTTTTTGTTGCAATTTCCGCGGGCTTTGGGATACCACTCCTTCATGAAAAGTGTACAACTACTTATAGCATAGCATGGCGCTGCAGTCCTTCCTTCTCATTTCGCAGGTCGGGATTTTTTTTTGAGAGATTGATGTAATGGGACATCCGGGTTGGCGATGGGAAAAGTGTGGAATTTGGTTTCGGTCTTGGATGGGTTGCTTTCTGTCTTCTTCTGCTGTCTTCCCATTCAGTGCGGGATTCTAACAGTACTATCCAGCCATGTGTTTTATTTTTGAATCCTTTGGAGTCGCTCTGTTTGAACTTGTTTTCTGATTACTATTACTACTATCTCCGACTCGAGATCTGCATAGCTTTGGCGTCTATGAACCTTGATTGATCTGTTCTTGAAACTGTTTATTCTGCTTCGACCTCCTTGTCTCAATTGGAACTAGTTGGTAGTGTTAATCAACCGTTGGCCTTTCTGCTCTGCTGATTCTTGAGTCTACTCTGTATCCTAAGTAACCCTGCCCTAATGGTTGCCCCATCCGGCAGCGTTCTGCATGCCGAGATCGGGATCCGGTACCGTTATCTTATCGCGTCACCTGACCGGGCGGACGCAAATACAGGAAACAAACGCAAGCAAGGAAGAGTGAGTCAGTCAACATTCCCCAGCTCAATTGCATTCTTGCCTTGCCTCCTCTTGCGCTCCCCTCTTACCGCTGCAGTCGGTCATTTGGAGACCATTCTCCCTTGTCATCCCTTCTTTAACCCTCTCTTATACTTTAATCCCTCCCTCGCGCACATCCGACACTTTTTTCTTTGCCCCGCCTCCCCCACCATATTTCAGACATCATGGATGTAATTAAGCAGACATTCGCCCGGGCCAAGCAGGAAAAGCGTGCGGCCCTGGTCTCTTACATCACGGCGGGCTACCCCACTGTGGAAGAGACGGTAGACATCCTTCTGGGCCTGGAAAATGGAGGCGCTGGTGCGTGACCGCTCCCTGATTGTTGAATCCCGCCACCCAACCCTTCCCACCCCTTGCAAACATTCATCCGCTGACCATTTGCCTGCTCCTCGCAATCAATAGACATCATTGAAGTGGGAGTGCCCTTTACCGATCCGATTGCCGATGGCCCCGTTATCCAGAAGGCCAACACCAAAGCTTTGGCCAATGGTGTCACCGTCACCTCGGTTCTGGACATGGTTCGTACTGCCCGAAAGAGTGGTCTCAAGGCCCCTGTCCTGCTGATGGGATACTACAACCCTTTGATGCGATATGGTGAGGAGCGTATGCTCAAGGACTGCCGGGAGGCCGGCATCAATGGCTTCATCATGGTCGATCTCCCCCCCGAGGAGGCCGTCCGCTTCAGAGACCTGTGTGCCAGCAACAAGTAAGGAAGACCCCGTTCGGTTTTACGCTACTGATGACGGTCCGTTGGGATGGTGCATGCTTACTGACCTGTTTGCGACCAGCCTGTCCTACGTTCCCCTCATTGCTCCCTCGACCTCGGAATCCCGCATGAAGCTCCTCTGCAAGATCGCCGATTCTTTCATCTACGTCGTGTCGAGAATGGGTGTCACCGGTGCTACCGGCCAGCTCAGCTCGAATCTGCCCGATCTTCTATCTCGGGTCCACAAATACTCTGGCAACGTGCCTGCTGCATTGGGTTTCGGAATCAGCACTCGGGAACACTTCCTGTCCGTGCAGGATCTTGCGGAGGGTGTCGTGATTGGCAGTCAGATTATCACTACTTTGGGCGAGGCCCCTGCTGGGCAGGCGGCTAAGAATGCCGAGGCCTACCTTTCCAGCGTGACCGGTCGCAAGCTCGAGAGAGATGCCCAGGGCACGTTGGTCCGCGAGATCAAGGTGCTGGACCCCGTAGAGAAGCGAGAAGTCGAAGAGGGCCTCGCTCACCCCACGGCTATTGTCACCGATGCCGGCAACCCTACTGGCCCCGGCTTGGCCGACCAAATCGATGCTCTCAACGGCACGGGCAACCCTGCCGCTCAACCGTCGCGGTTCGGTGAGTTCGGTGGACAGTACGTCCCCGAGTCGCTCATGGACTGCCTGGCCGAGCTGGAGCGCGGTTTCGAGTATGCGTTGACCGACGCCTCGTTCTGGGAGGAGTACCGTTCCTACTACCCCTACATGGGCCGTCCCAGCAGCCTACACCTGGCCAACCGTCTGACCGACCACGTCGGCGGCGCCAACATCTGGCTCAAGCGTGAGGATCTCAACCACACCGGTAGTCACAAGATCAACAACGCGCTGGGTCAGATCCTCCTTGCCCGGAGACTCGGCAAGACCCGCATCATTGCCGAAACGGGTGCTGGTCAGCACGGTGTCGCCACCGCGACCGTCTGTGCCAAGTTCGGCATGAAGTGCGTTGTCTACATGGGTGCCGAGGATGTCCGCCGTCAGGCCCTGAACGTGTTCCGCATGAAGCTCCTCGGAGCCTCGGTGGTGGCCGTGGACGCCGGCAGCCGTACGCTACGTGACGCCGTGAACGAGGCTCTCCGCGCCTGGGTGGTCGAACTCGACACCACCCACTACATCATCGGATCCGCCATCGGACCCCACCCCTTCCCTACCATCGTCCGTACCTTCCAGTCTGTCATCGGCGACGAGACCAAGCAGCAGATGCAAGAGCAGATCGGCAAGCTGCCCGACGCCGTCGTCGCTTGTGTCGGTGGCGGCAGCAACGCCGTCGGCATGTTCTACCCCTTCTCCAAGGACACGAGCGTCAAGCTCCTTGGTGTCGAAGCCGGCGGTGACGGCGTCGAAACCGCCCGCCACTCCGCCACCCTCTCCGGCGGCAGCAAGGGTGTCTTGCACGGCGTCCGCACCTACGTCCTCCAGGACGAGCACGGCCAGATCTCCGAAACCCACTCCATCTCCGCTGGTCTTGACTACCCCGGTGTCGGCCCGGAGCTGAGCTCGTGGAAGGACAGCCAGCGCGCGCACTTCGTCGCCGCCACCGACGCCGAGGCCCTGTCGGGCTTCCGTGCCCTCGCGCAGCACGAGGGTATCATTCCTGCTTTGGAATCCTCGCACGCGATCTTCGGCGCTATGGAGCTGGCCAAGACCATGAAGAAGGGCGAGAACATTGTTCTCAACCTCAGTGGTCGTGGCGACAAGGATGTCCAGAGCGTCGCGGATGAACTTCCTCGTCTGGGTCCTAAGATCGGCTGGGATCTGCGCTTCTAGATACTTCCTTAACCAAAACCAAAACCAAAACCAAAAAAATTAAATATAGACTTTTGATTAGATTAAGGATATTGTTTAGCATGAGGTTGTTGGATCGAGGTTTCAACACTTCCCGCTAGTTAGCACGGATGATCGTATTGGGATTTGGATCTTGGTTCCTTGGGGAATGAAAAAGCGACGTATATCTACTTTCGGGATGGGGATTTTTTTTTTCAATTTGCATTTCTTTTAGTTTCTTTCATTTCATGTTATCTCATTTTCATCTTACCTTAATTGTCATTTTCTCTTCTGTTTTCGGGACTACGATTTCGGGGTTGATTATCTCTTTTTTTTTTTTCTATCTAGTTATTGATACAGATAACTAGAGAGATCATCATTAAAAAAAAAGTGCACTCCTTAGTAATTTATAAGATTGAATAATCAGTACTTTGATGGGGAGGTAGGTACGGTAGTCATTTAGAGCATCGTCTTCGTCTTTCTTTGCCGCGCTACCGGTTCATGTTCTACAATCTGCTATGATGGTAAGATTGATATGATTTCTGCTAGATGATGTACAAACTACGACGAACAAAAATACAGAGAAGGATGATATATGCAGGAGTCATAGTATAGTATAAAGTAATGATGACAGAGCAGAAAAAAAGACAGCTTGAAAATGCGCAAGCAGAAAATCGGAAAGAAAAGGAAAAAGCAGGGCCAGAAACATAGATAGATATCTTTGCAACAAGACAAGAGAAGACAAGACAAGATACAAAAATAAAAAAGAACAGAATTCCTTTTCCTTCCTCTTTTTCTATCGTCTCCCCCCGTAACGACAACTACACGGAGCGAGGAGGTTAGGCTTCGATCAGGTCGGCGCCCTGCGACTGCGACTGGACCTGTTCGGGAGCGCCGGTACTGTCTCTCGTGTCCTTGTTGGCGACCTTGCGGGCGGAGCGGGCGTAGAATTCGTCGAGGACGCGCTTGGGGATACGGTTGAGGAGGTCCTTGGGGTAGATGCGGAGCAGGTTCCAGGCGATGTCCAGGGATTCGAAGATGGATCGCGACTCGTACGTGGACTGGTTGATGAAAGAACGCTCGAACTTGTCGAGGAACTCGAGAGAGAGCTTATCTTCCGAGGACAGGGCGTCCTCACCGACGACTGCCTTCATGGCGGCTGTTATTTGGGAAGTATCAGGTTAGCATGTGGGACAAGAGGAGTTCTAACGAGGAAAGGCAGGACTCACCAGCATCTCGTCCGATGGCGTACTTGGCGTACAGCTGGTTGGACACGTCGGAGTGGTCTTTACGAGTACGGCCTTCGCCGATGGCAGACTTCATCAGACGGGACAGAGAGGGCAGGACGTTGATTGGCGGATAGACACCCTTGTTGTACAGCTGACGATCGATGAAGATTTGGCCCTCCGTGATGTAGCCAGTCAAATCGGGAATCGGGTGGGTGATATCTAGACGAGATCAGCTGAGTTCGTAGCTTTGCCT